CCTCCTCCTCCTCCTCCGGAGGTCATATATCCACCGGATGCGTGCTGTTGTTCCGCGGAGGGTATCCTGGTCAAGGTGCCCAAGTTACTGGCCGAGCAGCTCGTGGTCATCGTCGACGCGCCGCCGAAGGCCACCGAGCGTCGTTTCGGGTTGTAGCGTGGCGGCCCTTTAAACGGTACTGGAAAATCGAGGGTTGCAAGGTTAAGTAAAGAAAGGATTACTTAGCCTTACAAGTAGACGCTGCACTCCCAAGGTAGCAATTCGTCTTCCTTTTTGGAGCGAGACCAATGGCGTCTCTTTCTTTCTTTTTTTTTTTCTCGCTTGACGTGAGTCCGACGCGCGTCTCTCCCTTTCCAAACGCCCGAATACCCTCGATTCTCTCTTTCTCGTTTCGCGCGCGTTTTCACAAGCTTGCGGCACACACACACACACACACACGCACGCGCGCGCGCGCGCGCGCGCAAATCGTCAAATACTCGTTACGTCACGCGTAATGGCAAGGAACAACGACGTTAGTCGGTTGTTAACGTTGTATCATCCGTTAGTCTCTGTATACAAGAAGAAAGCGGTGAAAAAGCACACGCAACAGTCACGCATTCGTCGCGGTTGCTTGTATCTGTTTCGTACGATACAATGTGCGAGGGTGCACACAGAAGATATACACAATCACGTCGTCTGTACTTTCGTGTTTCATATACTCTTTTTTTTTTTTCTTTTTTTCCTCTTCTGAAAACAGACACGGCACGTGTGCACCGGTGATCTCGTGGTTGCCGCGATCTTGAGACGGGCCGCCGGACTTCTCCGAAGCGTCTCGATCAAACTTCGCCTCTTGTCACTTCGCTTCCAGGAGACTTTCCAGTGGCCCGCGTACGTGTTACGTGTACGTGAATTCACAAAATACGTCGAGAAGAACTACCAAACGACTTACTAGTCGACTCGCTGTCACGACTCGGCCGCTGCTGCAACTCTTTCCTTTCATCGTCGTCGGGACGTTCATTTTGTTCGACTTCTGCCGCAAGGCAAGCTCGGATTGATAACAGGCACAGCGGCCCGAGTCGATCGACGATCGAGAGGGAAATAGTGATACGGCATCGTTAGTACAGTTACTCAGAAGCAGTCAAACTTCAATCGTAATTACGTTTATCGTTATATCGTTACAGAGATACTCGATACGTCTTACAAGACCATCACCACCAAAGATCCCATCAGACTGTTACAATTTCATGTACATTTGTCATACAGCACAGACACAGATACAAACGCACAATTATACATACGTGAATATATATTTGTTTGTTATATATTTACATCGTTAGACTAGTCTATGGAGTCGCTAGCCAGCTAGGTACTCTTCGCTACGCTACGG